GAATTGAGCGGACAAGCTTTCTGAACTAAAAGCCCCTGTGACCTTGACCTTTGACTCAGTGACCACAAAATCAATAGGGGTCATCTACTAAGTATGACTTACCACCATGCCAAATATGAAGATTGTGGGTCAAAGTATTCTAAAGTTATTTGGCAGACAAGCTTTTCTTAGTTAAGACCCCTGTGACGTTGACCTTTGACCTCAAAATCATTAGGGGTTATCTGCTAATCATGACTAACCTCAATGCTTAATATGAAGACTGTGGGTCAAAGAAATCTTAAGTTATTGGGCCAACATGCTTTTTTTCAGTCAACACCCCTTTGACCTTGACATTTGAACAGCGACCTCAAAATCAATAAGGGTCATCTACTCATCATGACTAACCTCCATGCTTTTTTCAATCAAGGTCCCTGTTGCCTTTGACCAAGTAACCTCAAAATTAATAGGGATCATCTATTTACTCATCATGACTAACCTCCATGCCAAATATGAAGACTGTGGGTCAAAGGAATCTTAAGTTATTTGGCAGACAAGCTTTTTTGTCAAGGCCCATGACCTTTGACCCAATAGGGATCATTTACTCATCGTGACTAACCTCCATGCCAAATATGAAGACTGTAGGTCTAAGGAGTCTCAAGTTATTCGGCCGACAAGCGTTTTTCAATCAAGGCCCCTGTGACCTTTGACCCAGTAACCTCAAAACCAATAGGGGTCATCAACTCATCATGACTAACCTGGATGCCATATATGAAGACTGTGGGTCAAAGGAATCTTAAGTTATTGGGCGGACAAGAAAAAACCGATGGTATAATAAATTAATTAGAATCAGACAAACTTTTATTCAGTATTGTAATTTTCATCAACGCAGCATAAGTATATATACCTTGTTTAATATAATAGGAGGAAATCATCATACTATAGGTAGGTGCTGAAGACAAGTGATTTGATGATTTTGATTTTACGTCACACCGACACAGTATAGGTCATTTGGCGACGTTCCAGCTTTACTGATGGCGGAAGACCTCAGGTGCCCCTCTGTGCATTTTTTTCAGGCACGAACGGGCACCTGAGTAGCACCACCGACGTTCCGTACACTAGCTGGATAGCTTCCTCACATGAAAAAATCCATGTCAATGTCGACGGTCGGGATTCGAACCCATAGCGGTGAGGGGCAAGTGGTTCTAAGTCAACGACCTTAACCACTCAGCCACGGACGCCCCCCTGAAGACAAGTGTTTTTCAAACAGAAAAAAATAAATCGACTCACAGATTAACAACTGGCAACTTTCTAGTCACACTTAGGAGTTGACTCTAAAGCAAATGACAAAAGCAAAGTACTTTCATCTTTTTATTTAATTTTCCTTTTTCAATAAAAATATCACAGCTTATCAAAAGAACATTCTTGAAAATATTAATCATGTATAAATGTACGACAATTTTACAAAAAAAAAGAGAAAAGAAAAAAGGATTTATAATATTACACCTATTTTGTAACATTTTTTTTTAAATTTCAATTCATAGCTAACATTTTGTAACATTTCTTTTTCAATTCAAATTTTATAGCAAAGAAATCCCCCCCTCTCCCCCACAAAAAAACAACAGATCTATTAAAACTACAATGTACCAACAAATACTTGCTGAGTATTTCATATGTCATGTTTATTGTAAATTCTCAAGTGTCTTATTAGTCTAGTCAGTAATTTCAGGTAAAATGGATTTCTTCTATATCTGATAACACTACAGTACTTGAACTATCTGGGCTCTATCAGCAACCCTTTCTTGCCAACAAAACCAATAATGCAGTCGGGACAATACTGTTTACTGGCAATGGCTATTCTGCCATTTCAAAATCAAGATCAATTAAAATATAAATAATGGTAATGTATATATATGTATATGTATATTCATAATTCAAGTTTATTACACTAAATAAACAGGGAAATGGTTAACTTGAGTCTAAGTTATGATTATGTACATATCAATGATCATCTAAATGTTAAAATTTAGGTCTTTACACCAAACACTTGCAGCTTTCATTACACAGATATTATCTATTTCCCTGATTTTGGCTATTTACACCCTCAAGTTTTGGTATTGTCTACCAAAAAACAATTCCTTCCACATTTCACTATAACTTTTATCTCTGCAAATCTATATTTGTATAATTTCAACACTCGTATTGCATGGAAAAGAACATTTTTTTACTAACTTTTACATTTTCAAAACTTGAATACATGTACAATGAACATTTTCTAAATTATAAAAGTAAACATGTTTAGTAATGATCAAAAGAATTTATATGCAATTGTTACAACTTAAATGACAACTTTTTAGTAACATAAAAGGTCATATTTTTGACATCATTAACATTCTGAGCTTGGTATTTAGCTACCATCTTATCAACAATACTGTTTATTGTTTAATTTAAAGCACCACAATTACTTTGTGCCACCCAACATATATCACAGTTGTCTCCCCTGGATCTAACATCCCAGTAGGTATCTCAGTCTGTGACAGCATTCACCAACAGCACAGTGCCAACTTGTTTGTCACGACCAAGTTGTCTCCCATTTACCACCAAAATTAAAGGTGTGCTCACCCTAATACTTCTGTAGTCAAATACCTGTAAATGTACAGAACCATTTATCATTTTGGAAACTTTTTTCTGTTATAATGTTCACATTTTGGCTGAGCTCTATGGTCAGATGATAAATGTCTTAAAATCACTTTCCACTCAGTGCCGAGGGTTTACATTACTCGAGTCAATCCGTCATATGACCTTTGAAATGACATAGATCCAAATAAAATCTACTATGTAATACATGTATAAACAATTTCGTCACTTTCGATTGTGTAAGAAAAATGTTGTACAAATGAGCAACAAAATGAACTTGTCAAAACTATGATAATAATACGAAGATATAGATTAAATTTAATGGTCATATGACTGGAGTAAATTGAGGCAAACCCCAAATCAGTAAATAAAATATTCATATAGTGCAATAATTTATAAATTGCAATTTAGGAGGATTTTCTTTTTTAAGGTAGTTTTACTGTAATGCTTTCCCGCCAAAAAAATCTAACATTGGCAAATATCGTAATAAGTTGGTCATTTCCGGTCGTACATTTCCGGAATGTTATTTTTCACAATCTTCAGTAATCAATATAATTTAACTGTGTAAAACATGTAAAACCGGAATTTAGTACATAGCAATACAGGATGCAAGATTGTAAATAATCCAATGTACAAGATTTTGAAAAAACAAAACATTCCAGAAGTAACTGATTTAATTTCTACAATATTGGCGGATGTTAGAATTTTTTGCAGGAAAGCATTACAGTAAGACTACCTTAATGTTAGTATAGAGTCACAAACAGTTGTTTAACTTTATAAACGAGAATGAACAGAACAAATCAGGTTCTCTATCTAAAATACAAAAATATCTAATTCAATTTTGCATCTTTTGAAATAAAATATTTTATTAATTTATTTGGGTGATATGATAATAGACAGAATAAAGGACATACTGGGAATATAACTGAAATGAAGTGACGGAAAGTATACAGTCTTACCATATCTTTGTGTTTAACATTGACATGTTGTTATATAAGGTCCTGGAATAGCAACAGAATCTCCGATTTTGACCCCTGATTCCTGAGCCAGGTTGTACACATTAACAGGCATGACTGTTTCTTCTTCATCTAACATACACAATGTACTGAAATATAAAATAACCATCTCATATAATACAGATGATACAACCATGAAGTGCCTCTTGTAATTAACACATTGCATTACAGACTTTTTATAATTATCTACAACTTCATCTTAAAGAAATTAAATCCAACTATCAAATTTACCAATCTTCAATGCTCCTATCTTCAAAATTATTATATATAAAAAATTGAAAACAAGTCACTTATGCATTTTGCTCATACATGGGTGAATAAAGACATTTGAATTGAATAGAAATAGACATTATTCTCAAACTATGTTCAGTTTGTTTATTGAATAATTTGTATCAGCTAGTAACAATTGTTTTAGTCATTAATCTGCAGACAATTATCTAATAATTGTACCTTGATTTCATACTCACAAGTAAGAAATATATATAAAAAACCTGAAAACTATTGATTTAAAATTACGAGGGTTGTCCCAATATTCTGTGACAAGATTGTTTAAAAGCTAACTAAAATAGGTACGAATTTGATATTTTAATATGTTATAAACCCATATAATTGAAACATTTTCACAAACTTACATAGAAAAATATCAACAAACAACAAACATATGCCGTAAATACCATGGCAACTATCTGAATCGCGGCGCACGTCAAACGTCAAAGACGGCGTTAAATCTATATAAGGCGCCTTTCTCAAATACTCTCAATGGCTTTCAACGCAATAATGGTGCAGCTTTACCCATAAATCGTCAATTACAGACTTAAATCATGTGGTTGTTAATGTCTGTTGAATGTTTGGATGGCATACATTTTTTTTGCTACACGCGAACATCCGGTCTGGCTGCATTTGCTTTTAGCTGTAGGAAATAGGCGACGCAGATCGGTCTTCCTATTCATGCTTTCCTTATTTTCGCTTTTTGTAGTGCAGACATCTGGTTCCGTTCATGCCTTTAGTAAACAAATACTGAGGATATGTTGCTAAACTCTTTTATTTGGTATATTTGCTGAAAATCGTAACATGTGTCATCTCGAAATAGTCAAGAAACCTGAATGACCTTTTCACTGCGCCGCAAATTCTTCGAACGTCGCCATTTTAACTTTCCTATTTTCTATGATATATTTTCATTTATCAGTAGCCTGTTCGTTTCTTATGTTATTTAAATAAAATTTTCTGAGATGATGTAAACATAGCAGCAGAGGAAGTCAACGTGGTATTGTGCAGACACATCATCAAATATTTGAAATATACGTAATTAATCTTAGCCTATTCATAACAAAATACAAATTATTTGACGTGCGCCGGGAACTCAATCCAATGTCGTAAATACTGAAAATTTCTAAGTAAATCGAGTAAATATTTTGTAAATGATTTGTTGTAATGTTAAATAATAACCTTAACGGTTTTATGTGTAAATTATTATCTATTGGCGTTAAAAATGAACCGTCTATAAAATTTGTCACGGACTTTTGGGACAACCCTCGTATATATTTTTTTCTATATAGTTAAAAGGTGTATAAAAATCCTGAAAACTTGCACCCATGCTAACCAAGTGTTATAAGGCAATGAGTATCACAAATGTTCATTGGTCTATAGCCTACCTACTACTTATTACCTAACAAGAAATTACCACATATTGGATTTGTTTTTACTTACAAAGGTACAAGGTCTGCAGTAGGTACAGTACAAGCAACTTTGCCAAGGACAACTCTTTCTGGGTTAACACCAACATCAAGATCTTTAAATGAACATCTCATGAGTTTAACAGACTTGCCACTATTGCTGGTATAGCCACCACCGGCATACGGTCCTAGTGCACTATCTCTGGGTGATTGGGACAATGTCTGTAACCTCTTTCCTTTCACTTTACCCTATTAATCATTCGAAAACAGAAAAATTCATTATGACAACAAATAGTCTTTGTCTAAAATTTTTAAGAAATTTAAGTTCTTCTTGTTTATGGTTTGCTTTTGTCATCTCTTAGAATTTCAATTATCTTAATTTTTTTACAGTAACACCTTTTAAAAAATACCATTGCAATGTATCAAAGAAGCCTAGCATAATGCCAATTATCAAAAATTGTTAATTGTTTCACAGTGCCAATTTTCTAAGTATCTGGGTTCAAACAGATATTTAACTTGATTTTTAAAAAATTTATTGGTTGTAACTTGTAACACGAACATGTGCACAGCCTAATGGAAATAATGTCATGCTGAAACTTTCCAAAAAATAACGTACTGAAAAAATGTCTGTTTTGTCGTCAAAAGTAATTATAACATTGTGGAAGTGACATTTCTAGTCCATTCATAATGCTAAAAACTATAGAATATTATTGGATTACTTTAGAATGCCAATTACAACAGAAGGGCTATCATTCCATAATGCATGTACTGTAGAATATTTAAAACATTTAAGCATGCCATATTACCCTAGCATGTAAAATTACTATAACATATATGTTAGATTACCTTAGCTTCTATCATCTCTGATACACTGGTCAGATAATAACAGAGTTGTTTTTCCTGAGCTTCTGGTGCATTCCAGCTGGGATCTAACAATGAAGCATGTGAAAACCCTTCTAGGGATTATAGTCGCCTCAAATGGAGAAAAAATGCCTTATTTAAGCCCCAAACACTTGTTTTTGTTTGAGAAATGTTGTTTATAAACTCTAGTAAGGTTACAGCAATGACACCTTTTTCTGTTTTTTAGGGAAATAGATTTAAACAGGATTGATTGAAATCCTTTTATAGTGTATACTGTTTGTAAAAACGGGGGTCTAATTAGCTTTTTGTAATGACATTGCAAGTCCATGCAAAAAGACAAAAATACAACATGTAGACATAATGGTTTATCAACCATGATACTCTTTCAAAATAAATATAATCATGTACTTGCTGTATACGATAAAAGACTTGTGTTTCAGGCAATGTGTATTTTTTTCGGCCCTGGAAAACTTTATATGTAGATGTAATATGTAATTTGTAAGATCAATGTGTGTTTGTCTTTATTGAAATAAATACGTGTATATGATTATGTGGTATATAAGAACTTGTCAGCTGTTGTCATTGACAAAATTAGTTCTTCTTATCATACAGGCATGCAGCTGATAAAAATGGAATGAACTTCGGAATGTTTTGTAAAAAGCCTATAGACCTTTATTTTGCATAGAGAAACTACAGAAAAGCATAAAACAGAATGAAAATGATCTGGATCATAGTTTGTCATGTTTTGAATTTAATTGGTGTATATTCACCTAGATCTTATTATGTATTTAAAAATGTTGGAAACTATATTAAAGGAAAAATAAATATAAGTTTGAGAGTTTTAGAAATACATGTACATGTATTAACAATTCAACTTGGATTTTGCATGTTTGTTGAAAAAAAAAAAAATCTGGAGCCATGCTTCTTTATCAATATCAATTTAATGTTTTACAGACAGTTTTACAAACAAAGCAGAGTACTTCATGTTACTGGGACGTACACTGAATGTTACCCCAGACTATGATGGTAAAGCATATGAATACCTATCAAAGGCTGTTAAGCTGGATCCTAAACTTGTCGAAGCATGGAACCATCTTGGCGAACTTTACTTGAAAAAAGGAGATGTCAATAATGCCAAAAAATGTTTTTTGGGAGCACTTACACATGTAACTAATGTTTTATAATTTTAGTTAAATCTAACTTGATTTGTGTTGGAAACTATATACATTGTGTGCTTAAGACAGGCTTTTGAATACCTTTTAGCTTTTTGACTAGTACTTGCTAAGTAATGAATGTATAGTTTCTGGCTTAAGATTGCCCATGACAGGGTTTAAACCAAGGTTGCCAGCAATCCTTAGAGGATTTAAAACTGATGATGAATTTAGAAAGGCTGTTTGTTGTGCATAGAAATAATTTTAAATTGTCAGTTTATATGTATGGAAAGATAAATTTTTCATTTGCATTCATATTGTTTTCATGTAATTTCAGTCAAAAAACAAGATATCGCTGAGAAAATTGTCTATGGTATTACGACAGCTGAATGTTAGTGCAGAGGAAAGGATGGCCAATTTTGAAGACAGTGTTGAGAAGGCTAAACAGGCTGTACAAATGGACATTAAAGATGGTCAATCATGGTGTATGCTATATAAATTGATATGAAACTTAATATATTGCTTATACGATTGATGATTTTCAAATTTTATATTTCAGTAATACTCGGAAATGCCTACCTGTCTTTATTTTTTTCAACTGGGCAAATGCAAAGATTTTACAGCAAGCTATGAGTGCCTACAAACAAGCTGTAAGTGTTATGCAACTAATTTTTTCCATTGAAAAAGAGTTATTTATTTGATTTTAGCTGTGTCCATTTATTATATGTTAGCCTCATTTCTGAATTGATGTTATAAACTGTCATGCTTCAAATTTAAAACTTTCCAATTAGTAAGGCCCCCTTTGACCACACAATTAAATGTATTTGTTTTGATTTTCATTTGTAAACGTTTACAACATATTTTACGGTTTAAAAGAAATGACCACATTGTCCTATCAGAATATCCTAATTATTACCTGTAAACGTGAATTTTATCAATTCAAAATGATTTCTTCCAAGTAAAAACTATATAAGATAGAGTTTTCAAGGCTATTAAAAAACGTTGCTGATCGATCATGACTAAATATTTGTTTGGTAAAGTTGATTTTCCTAAGAGTGAAATGGGGATACAGTGCAGAAAATTGGTAACATTGTAATTATTGCTGCTAGTACTGTGAGGATTGAAGCTGTGTCATATTGATACTTATATCTTTAGATATCTGTAAAATATATAGCTGCTTCAACAAGGATAAATATAAGTTAGTGTCAGTGGCATTGGTAGACAGAAACAGTGACATTAATTGACAGTCAGTGAGTGGCATTAATGTCATCAAGTTCAGATTTAATGCTAGTGTCAGACAGTGACATAATGAAATAGTCATACATAACATAATGTTAATTTAATAAAACGACTTACTTATTCAATTAGTTATACTGACATCAAACACGCCCGTTTAACTCACAACGAGTGAAAAATGTCCATCGGTAAAAATGTTGTGAGCAACTTCCGTTCCTCGTTGTGAGCACACATCTAGGACGTGTGACACGATAAACAAGGTGAGTTTTTCATAATTTTTGAAGATTACAGACATTTATGTAAAAATATCGGAATGCAGTTAGCTAGCGATGTGTTTTCCGAGTATGCACATGTAAAGATATTGCCTGTTGGTCGACAATTTGATGGAAATACCGTGCGACGCAGTCACTTGGGGTAGCTGGAAAACTGGAGACAACTTCTCTCCGGACCAAATTTAACATTGAAAAACGACGATTCTGGTGACGTTTTGTGCATTCTAACCTAAAACAGATGCCCACAAGTCTTCAGCGTAAATTATTACATGAAAGTCTTCATAGAAAGGAAGATATACCCTTTTTTGCTTTAATCCTCGTTGTGAGCACCATAACCTCGTTGTGAGCAAGACAAGCACAGTGCGTGTCTGGTTTTGATATGTAATTCAAGTGGGGAGAATACAATTTTCAATCTACTCGGTTTTGCACAATAGTTTCTCTTTGCAATAGTTCTTCTTTGTCTACATAACTTGGCCAGTCTAACATGAATAAAAATCAGGATAAATACATGCATGTTTATATCATACAGACTGCCCTTTATGTTAACTCTGGCAACACGAAGTATATGCAATTAAATACATAATTTACCTCCCCTTATTAGTTCACCACCATTTGCACAAACAGCAAAACATCTGCAAAATTGTAGGTATAGTTTTTTTGTTTACCATTATCTATTAAGCTAAGAATATACTAGTGAAGTGTTAAAAGTTACAATACACAAAATAAGTAATCCTCCGCGAAAAACGATAGTCGCATAGAATAACATATTCAAAAAGTTCTCAGCGTCTGTTTGCTCTGTACAAGGGGCATTTTTGATGATTTTAGTTGCACTGTCTTTCCTAGAAAGCTCATGACAGTCTGTGTTTGACATTTAGATAGCATTTTCATCATGAAATAGTGGCATTTTAAGAAAACTTCTTGACTTCTTATGTGTTTCACCACTGGTACATTTTTGGGTTAGCAAATTTTACAGTGTGTTTAACTGAAAAGAATGTTTTTGCAAGAGACATGACCAAAACTTTTCTTTTGATTTTTATGCATCACTGACAGTTTTTCTAGTAGTTCTTAACTTTTTCAGACCAGGGCAAGTACAAACGTGATGCCTCGCTTCGGTCTCTCCTTGAACGACCCCATGTCCAATCATTGAAAAGAATAGTACTGCAGTTGGAAGGCCTTGTCCAAAGAGGTGTTGTGCCTAAAAATGAATTAAAAAATTAAAAAATGAACCAAAAAATTGATTTACTAATAAGGACATTATGGCCAATCTTAAATGTTTTTGGACAATCTGACCTTCAAGGTAAAGGCCAATCAGAGGTCAAGGAAAAAAATACAGGCCCGTAGGAAGGTCTTGTGATAAGGGATGTTGTGTTCAAATATGAATCAAATCCGTTTATTAATGAGAAAGTTATGGCCAATGTTAAAGTTTTCGGACGGATTGACGGACTGACGGACGGCCAGTTCAAAACTAATATGCCTCCCTTCGGGATATGCACAACGTCTTGCAAAGAAATGGCGCTGTGCAAAAACGTTTTAATTGCTTTGGTAGATTGAAAATTATATTGTCGCCATCTTTTGTTTGTTTTGGGGTTTACGTCACATCGACACAGTATAGGTCATATGGCGACGTTCCAGCTTTACTGGTGGAGGAAGTCCTCAGGTGCCATTCCGTGCATTATTTCAGGAACGAACGGGTACCTTAGTAGAACCACCGACGTTCCGTAAGCTACCTTGATAGCTTCCTCACACGAAAGAATCCAAAGTCCCTGTTTGGATTCGAACCCAAAGAGGTGAGGGGCAAGTGGTTTGAAGTCAACGACCTAAACCACTCAGCCACGGACGACCCCTTTTTCACCATCTGAATAACATATTAAAACCAGACACGCACTGCGCTTGTCTTGCTCACAACGAGGTTATGGTGCTCACAACGAGGATTAAAGCAAATAAGGGTATATCTTCCTTTCTATGAAGACTTTCATGTAATAATTTACGCTGAAGACTTGTGGGCATCTGTTTATGGTTAGAATGCACAAAGCTTCACCAAAATCGACGTTTTCAATGTTAAATTTAGTCCGGAGAGAAGTTGTCTCCAGTTTTCCAGCTCCCCCGAGTGACTGCGTCGCACGGTATTTCCATCAAAATGTCGACCAATAGGCAATATCTTTACATGTGCATACTCGGAAAGAACATCGCTAGCTAACTGCATTCCGATATTTTTACATAAATATCTGTAATCTTCAAAAAATATGAAAAACTCACCTTGTTTATCGTGTCAAGCGTCCTAGACGGATGCTCACAACGAGGAACGGAAGTTGCTCACAACATTTTAACCGATGTACATTTTTCACTCGTTGTGAGTTAAACGGGCGTGTAAAAGGGAATGGGTTGAAATTTCAACACTTATTTGAGAACATTATAGGTCACTAACCAACGTCCATGGCTCAAATATTGATATGACAAAATTAGGAATTTTGACATAATTACTCCCCTTTTGAACTTATAGAAAATGTTTCATTACTAAGGTTAAGCACTGAGAATAGTTGAGCATGCTGTCCTACTGACAGCTCTTTAGCTTTTAGTATACCATGCTACAGATCAGCAACAAATTTGTAAGATAATGCCCTAAAGTTATGTAAATTTTTCCCTTTCTTTTGCCAACAATAACGAAGAAACAAATGTTTTTGATGTAAGCGATAGTCAACAGCATATAAAGAATAAACAGTAAAACTGTTTGTAACAAGACGTGTGTTTAGAGAATGACGGATTAACTTTCATAAACATGTAGTTAACTAAGTTTCAAAGTGTTTTCCTTAATAAAATATACACTGTTACCTCTGCAGAGATACTCTTTGTAGTGAAATCACCTCTTTACAACAACCATATTATATTTGTTGATAAGACTTTACTATAAGCATAAACTCTGTAGAGCAACACCCGCTCAGCAAGAAGCAAAATATTTATCCATCAAAAGGCGGTTGCTATACAGAGGTTGTAACTGTAAATAGAAGTTTTTTTCTTGCTTCTTTTTTTTGTTAGAAATAATTATGTACATAATAAATTCCTTATTTACCCTAGTCCAACTAATAAGACTTGTCAAAGAGACATCGAGACATTTTTTGAATGGGCGATGTCTTTTTCCAACTGTTTTAAAGTTCACAAAATAAGTTAAAACCTTTCACGGTTAATTAATTAGGCTATATTTACACCTGTATTGAGTAACACCTTTGAAGCGGTTTATTGTACTTATCTGAGAAAATTTTAGATTTATTTTGGTTTGTGTCAGTTACTTAGCCGTGTTTTTTTTATATTTTTGATTTGAGAATGAAACTGATATCAGAAATTGTCTGGCTAAACTTCTCCAGTGTCTGAGTGAATTATCAGTTCATCATGCTTGAATAATAATAATATCAGTTAAAGTCACGGATATTGTTTTGAAAAATTTAAGATTTTTTCTGCCAGAACAGTCAGGGACTTACTTCACTTTTATAACCCATGATCTATTTTTATCTGTCATACATTGTTACAAATGCTGTATTGTGTATTTATCAGAGATTTTGCTATCAGTTAAAGAGTGACAGCTATAAACAACCTATTTAGAGTTACAAAAATTTATATTATGCAGTTTTATATAATATGCACCATCAAAATTTGTTTTCTAGTTTACAGCATAAGAAAAACTGTTATTTAAACACTAAACCTTATGAGGCACAGTATACAAGGTGTTTTGTAATAATATTCAATTTTTGAATCAAAGTACTGGAGTACAGACGACTTGGCTATATAGAGTAACAAATTAAAAGTACTGAAGTACATACATGGAAACAAATCAAAGTACTGAAGTACAGACGAGCTGGCTATTTGTTACTTTGTGGTTAGCTCATCATATTATACAATGTTCTTATGTCTATTGTCAAAAATACTGAAAATGTTTGTAAAACAAATGTATTTGATTTACTACATTGTATTATCTTGGTATTTGT